GTCATCGTGGCCTTCACCGGGGCCTGCATCACACAGGTGAGCTCACCTGGCCAGGTGGGATGTGGGGTGGGGTCATTGTGGCCTTCACTGGTACCTGAATCACCCAGGTGAGCTCACCTGGCCAGGTGGGACGTGGGGTGGGGTCATCGTGGCCTTCACCGGGGCCTGCATCACACAGGTGAGCTCACCTGGCCAGGTGGGATGTGGGGTGGGGTCATTGTGGCCTTCACTGGTACCTGAATCACCCAGGTGAGCTCACCTGGCCGGGTGGGACGTGGGGTGGGGTCATCGTGGCCTTCACCGGGGCCTGCATCACACAGGTGAGCTCACCTGGGCGGGTGGGACGTGGGGACAAGGGGGATTTCCCTGGGTAGGATGGTGGCTGTCATTGTGGCTGTCACTGGTACCTGCCTCACACAGGTGAGGGGTCACCTGGGCAGGTGGGGTCACCTGGGCCTGAGTCACACAGTCCCCCTGGGCCCAGCTGTCCCATCTCTCTGTCCCCACGTGTCCCATTCCTCTGAGTCACCTGAGCTCACCTGAGCCCACCTGAGCCCACCTGTGCACACCTGAGCTCACCTGAGCTCATCTAAGCTCACCTGAACTCACCTGAGCCCACCCGACCCCACCTGAGCCCACCTGTGCCCACCTGATCTCACCTGTACCCACCTGATCTCACCTGAGCTCATCTAAGCCCACCTGTGCCCACCTGAGCTCACCTGTACCCACCTGTGCCCACCTGAGCCCACCTGAGCCCACCTGAGCCCACCTGATCTCACCTGAGCTCATCTAAGCCCACCTGAGCCCCCCTGTGCCCACCTGAGCCCACCTGTGCCCACCTGAGCCCACCCGAGCCCACCTGAGCCCACCTGAGCTCACCTGAGCTCACCTAAGCCCACCTGTGCCCACCTGTGCCCACCTGAGCCCACCCGAGCCCACCTGATCTCACCTGAGCTCACCTGAGCCCACCTGAGCTCACCTGAGCTCACCTGTGCCCACCTGTGCCCACCTGATCTCACCTGTACCCACCTGATCTCACCTGAGCTCATCTAAGCCCACCTGAGCCCCCCTGTGCCCACCTGAGCCCACCTGTGCCCACCTGAGCCCACCCGAGCCCACCTGATCTCACCTGAGCTCACCTGTGCCCACCTGAGCCCACCTGTGCCCACCTGAGCCCACCTGAGCTCACCTGTGCCCATCTGTACCCATCTGTACCCACCTGATCCCACCTAACCCCACCTGTCCCCACCTGTACCCACCT